TCTTGAAATTGAGAATAGAACGATTGGAGTATAGGAGTCTTAGGCTTGCATATGTAGCTTTAGATATATTACTGACGTGGTGATGAAATCTAAGATTTACGTCTAAAGTAACACCTAGACTTTTTGCATGCGTGACGAGTGGAATATGGTCATTATTTACCCTCAAATCAATCATCCTTTCAAAATGCTCATAGCTGGTTTTGGGACAGAACAACACCGCAAAACTCTTGGTAGGATTGAGCTTCAAACAGTTAGCCTTGCAATAGTCAGTTATATTTACCAGATCTAAATTTATTTTATACGAAGCTTGATCCACATTAGTAGAGTCAAAAGTGAAGGTCAATTGTGTATCGTCTGCGTAGGTATGAATACTACAAAACTGTAATACAGTATGCAAGTCAAAAGTATAAACTAAATATAGTAAAGGACCAAGCACGGAACCCTGAGGAACACCAGAAGCAACATCGGCACTAAGAGAAACTCCTTGGCTTGTTCTTATTCGTTGCTTGCGCTTATTTAAGTATGATTTAAAAAAGCAAAGAGGAACGTCAGATAGTCCGTAGTATTTTAATTTGGATAGAAGCATTTCGTGGTTAACCGTATCAAATGCCTTTGAGAAATCTAACAACGCCAGCACAGTGTAAATATGATTGTCTAAGTTAGAGATAATCTCATCAGTTACGTGTAATAATGCAGATGTTGTGCTGTGACCACTACGGAAACCAGACTGACAATTTGGAAATATGTTGTACTCTTCAAAATATTTTACCAATTGCATATAAACAATTTTTTCCAATATCTTTGACAAGGCACACAATATACTAATGGGTCTCAAATCCGAATATTCTGTAGGATTATTATTCTTAGCCAGAGGAGTTATAACAGCCTCTTTCCACAAACTTGGAAATACTCCTTTTCCTTCCTATGTTAATTATAATATCTAAAACATCTTCTGGGGTAACTAAATGAAAGTGAAAGAGCGGAATGTCTGAATTAAAAGAACTTGAAATATATTCATCTACCGTACGATTTATAAGACGGGAATTAACATTATGGGATATAAAATTTGATAAAAAATAATTGTTAACTTCGTCAGGATTGAGCAAGTGTGGGGGAATTTCTGCCTTATTTTTTTGGTAAGCTCCAAAATTTCTTAAGTGTTTCCAAAATTTTTTAGGGTTTGACTTTTCGAAATGAGCTAAATATGCTTTTTTCTCTCTTTTAAGTGCAGCAAGTGCGTGATTACGCAAAATTCTGTAGTTGATCCAATTTTCTTTAGTTGAATCATGTCGAAATTTGAGTAAAGCTTCATCTCTTTCCTTGAAAATACGTTTCAAGGTTGGGGTTAACCAAGGCGATGCATTTTTCGTTATACGCGCTTTACGAATAGGTGCATGTGTATCGAAAAGAGCAATTAAACTTTCAGTGAAAAATAAAACCTTTTGATCGATATCATTAATATAAAAAATTTCATCCAATACATTAAGTCTTAAGTGTGCTTTGAACAAGACCATATCAATATTTTTCAGGTCCCTATATTCAATAAATTTTGGTGCATTTCTAGGAGCAGGCATTGCTAATTCACAAAAAACTAATCTGTGATCAGATATTTGATCTGCTGCTAATGTCCCAGAGTTTAAAATAATATTTACATCATTCACAAAAATGGGATCTATCAATGTGGAACTGAACTGCGTAATTCTAGTGGGCTCGGTAATAATCTGAGCATAATCAGTTCATCGCATCGGAAACAAAAAAGCGAAAGAATTTGAAACGCTGATCACGATGTTTTTATTCAGTCAATGTGTCAGTCGGTAACGCGTGAGTGAATAGTGGTGTTTGCTGCGTGGCTCAAACGAAATAAAAAATGGCACATATTTATGCGGATCGGTATCCCAATCGAGTGCAACCAACCCCTCGTGCCTTTGTTAATGTAGTACAACGGGCTCGTGAATCAGGTGACTTAAGACCTCACAGGGGAGGGCATGCCGGTGCTCCAAGACCTCACGATTAAATACAGGTCCGCACTGAAATACTTGTCGGGAGGATACTTTATAAGACAAGGTAAAAATTTTTTTTTTATTTTTACACACATATTTTGGTTTATCTTCCTTCTACAATCATTATCTGAAAATTAATAACTCAACTTCAAAGTCACCCTGTAGATATATAAGATTGACTCTTTTTGTAAGTTGCATCCTTTATGACGTCATACAGTTTTTTCATGTTATTTTTATTTTTTTCAATTTGCATTCTATAGTAATTATTTTTTTGTTTGTGTATTAAGTTATTTAGTTTAATAACATAATCCTTGTACTGATTTTCCAAAAACAAACTATAATTTGCTAGAAGTATCTTTTTCATTTTATCCCTTTTTTTCAAAGAAACAATAATTCCATTGCTTATCCATGGTTTTATTTTTTTTTGAATTGATACTCTTGTAGCAATTGTTTCTGTTGATTTCAACAGCAAGTCCCTGTAGGTAGTCAAAAATAACTTTACAGCTATTTCTGGATCATTCACAGTAGTTACCAAATTCCAATCACAATCATTCAAAAACTTCTTAAATTTATTTATGTTTAGTTTGTTCCGTGTTACAACTTGCCCAACCTCCAAAATTCCAGAAGGTCGTGCTTTATTAGTTATACAAAGCACTGTTGGACTGTGATCCGTTATTTCCTCATTGAGTATATAATTTAATAATAAACAATTGGTTCTTAATTTTTGCCTAACAAATATATGGTCCAGGCAAGTTCCCGAAGACATTCTAGTAGGTTTATTGATAAATGCGTAAAAGCCAAGAGAAGACATCATTGACAGATACTCTGTCACCAGAGTGTGCTTATTATCCAGAATATTTATGTTAATATCCCCCAGAAATATTTCAATATTAGCAGAACTATTATGCTCCAAATAAGTGTGCAAATCATGAGTGAAGTCTTTCTTTGATATTGGAGGTGGTCTGTAAACGCACGTTATACCATACAAAACCCCATCCCTTTCAAACGTGAGTCTACCTAAACTAGCCCTTGATACACTTAACTGGCACTTGGAGAAATTCTCCCTAATACCATCCCTAACAAAAACAATAACCCCATCATTTTTATTGTAATTACCTTCATTATAAAAAGTTTGGTAGCCAGGTAAATTACAGTTCTTAATAGACACAATTTGAAAGGTTTCCGTGAAAACAATAACGTCAAAGCTATTTAGCTTATATGACTCCAAATTTCTGTTGATACTTCTTATATTATCATGAATCACAGTTACAGCCAATGAATGTGCATTATGTGACAGGAAGGTTTTTATCTGTCCACTGGCTATTATTTCACTCAAAGAACCACCGTCTTCATTAATTATATCTAGAATTTCCTCATTTATGTGATTTACCATTATGCTTATTTACTATAGTCAGTTCTGGACTTCAAGATTCCAATTTGGTATTTTAAACAAGGACAGTTTGCAGTTAATGCACTATGATCTGTTGCGCACTTAGTTTTATACAGATTATTGGCCATGTCACAGTTCACACAAGTCCTCTCCTGACTTTCACATTCTGTGGTATTGTGACTTCCTGCACAGTTTCCACAGACTTGCTTTCTAAGACACCGGTTACTTTTGTGTTGAAAGCCCTGACACCTAGATACAGTCAGATCCTCATACACCGGCAGACGCTCCCAGTCTACGTAATTTTTTTCATTTTTCATTATTTTAGAATATAAGTTTCCTGAACATTCCGCATAAATTGTGGAGGTATCTTTATTGTTATGTCTTCTAATATAATGTATTTTAAAGTGTCCGTTCAACTGCATCCATGTATTCTGCTTCCTTATACTTTCTTCAAGCTCCTCTATCTCCTTATTACCCACATATCCTACAATTTTAATTTTCGGTAACATCTTTTTTGGTAAATTAACTTCATATTTACCTTTTAGTTTACTTTCTGCTGATTTCTTGAGTCTTTCTAGCTCCTGTTCTGTGTCGCACTTTAGTACAATATTTCCTTTCTTAGTTTCCTTAATATTTCTAATTCCAACATTGATTTCGCATGGGTTTATCAACCTTTGCACCTCCTCTTTATTCTTGCCTATATTTTGTTGGCTTTTAGGCCTAATTATTATGGTAGGCAGACTAGGCTTATTAATGGAATCCGGCGCGGATGTTTTATTTTTTAACACATTTGAATAAGTGTCTTTTCTGTAGTTTGCTTTCAAATCTGCTAATTCTCTTTTAATTTCCTCCATCATTTTCACCATATAGGGCATTCTTGCTATTAATTGCTTGCATTTATCACAAATCAACAAAAGAACCCTCTTCTGTAATGGCATACATCGCACTTCTGAAGATGTTAAATTGACACAATCCTTATGAACGCTCCCAAAACTTGAATCACATTTATAGTAACCATTGTCTCCATGACATTCTGTTTTACAGTTGATGCATACCTCTGCTTCAGGTTCATTGCCCTCCATCCTTGTTTATAATTAAGGATTCTGTTTTGGGATGGTTATTATGATTGTGAAGCTGTTTTCTTTTTAACATTGTAGGATTATTAAATCAAAGTGTGAAAATTTGATGCAAACAGATATTTGTGAGATATGATCCTGGACAACTAGACTATAAAACCAGCTAGTTATTCTGATGGTTATTTTTGTAACTGGCACTTTTTGTAAGCAAACTTTTTGTTGCTGTGAACACTTTTTTGTAAGAGAAATGTATCCTACTTACTGCAATTAACCACAAGTGAAAAATATGTGCACAACCAATATTTCACTGCCAACATGCTTCTCACAGCACTATTGTGATTTCTTTCAAAAATCATATTTTTTACTGAAGTAATAACGTAGATTTTCGACAAAATTGGGAGAGCACTTTTTACACACGTCTATCGTTCGTGAAGCTCATATAAAAATAGGTTTTGACTCACCAGGAAGGGATAGGGTTACTAACACACAGATATTGATTAGTATTTTTACCACGCCACTTGTTGTTTGTTTGCTCTAGGTTTGTTTTCGTCTCCGGTTTTTCTGTCTTTGCTCGACACGCGTTCCACGGCGTTCGAAACCAGAATCTTAATTCCATGCTATTCAATGGCAACACGGTGACTTCGACTTGTCTGTCTCGACTGTCGAATAAGTGCTTTTTTGTATGTTAAAATAGCAACGTCAATAACACAAGCTGTGATAAGGTCACTCTACTTACTAATATGGAAAGGTTCAAAAGAAAAACATATATTACAAATACCTAAATATATATTCATTATAGAAATCTGACACATTTTTCTACAAACAAATCAGTATTAACATCATTATGGTCCAGATATTTTCATTCCCCAGCCTTTGTTGGCACCTGCATAAATCAAAAATTAGGAAACTATTGAATTGTGTTGATATGTTACTACAATTTCAGATTTATTTTTTATTAGAACAACAATATTATTGTGCATGGGTACCCACGGGAATTTTTCTCAGAGGTGCTGATCATCATCAAGAGATAACTTTTTGTGAAATTGTACCTGCCCCAAAAATTTTTTGATGAGCAGAGGAAGCAATTTTCTCACGAGGGGACAAATCCAAAAAAATTCTCAAACTTGTACACAAGAGCAAATATGCAAACATTAAAGTCAAAGCCGATTCCCAGAAGAGACCATGTCCCCTCTGACACCACCCTGTGGGCACCCATGTTATTGTTCAATAACCTGTGGCTTCGATTTCATTGCAACTATAGTGAGCTTTGCATATCAACCCTGCTGCTCTGAAAATAGCTGATTTATTTAAAATGAAGTATGGAAACTAATTTGGACAAAAGCATTACAAATCATCACCGGTTATCGAGTCATATAAAAACTTACAAATGTTCTGCAAAAATCCTTCAGAGCTGTGCCTTTTGGTTATATCAGAAGTAATCTTCGAGCTCCTGACCTCAAGGGTTGACAACGGCAGCTGTTGAACTTCTCGTAGCGCTCCAGTGTTCAAAAAGTGATGTGGAGATACAAACACGTACGATCTTCAAATATTACATTTCTCAAATGAGTACTTGTGTACTTACATTTTTATACTTCACAACTCTGAACAAAATGCATGTCTCAAATAACATAATGAGGACCTTATTGAATTAAAATGAAATCTTAAGAAAATGGCATGCTGAAAAAAGTAAGGTTATATTTGCAAAGCACAGAGCAGAGCACACTAAGAGACCCGCCGGAAATTTAAATCTGACCAATCAGACAACGTCAGTTGTGAATAAGCCGCCATTTTTTGCTTTGTTTCCCATTCGCACGTATAATCAAATTCAAGCGGATAACCAAATGAAAATGGTATTTACCATTTTGGATTGGTATTTACCAATCCGTTTAAGCGAGTGTGATTATCAGTGTGGTTATAAGATCCGTGACGTCATGAATCAGCTGTTATATGTCATAGTTATCACCGCAAGATTGTGGTATTTACCCAACTCAGGAGTAGTTTTATATTTCTGGTTATTATTTGACATGTGACAAGTTAGAATTTTGCCGGGTATTGGATATCTTTATTGTACTTCAGCTTCATTTTTGGGAAACTTGATACAGGCTGACTTCAGTTTTAGCATAAGAGAGCATCTTGTTAGTTATAATCATTACTGTTGTTGGGGACACTTTAAATCTAGTTCCTACGCTTAACAAAGTATCCTGTATAGCCATATACCACAAGAATATTAAAATATGGCCATATAAACTCACTGGATGATGTCCACCTGTATACGGTTTTGTTAATATCTTTTTTTCATCGCTTTTTCATCATTTCTGCTAAATCAATAAATATTTTCTTTGACATGCGGAAAAGTTTAGAGAATTGACAGTTATCATAGCTCCAAAGCCATGGTTCCATCAGTAAAAATTTTTTTCTGAAAAACAAAACGTTCCTCCCATTAATACTATGAAAGGTTTCTTTTTTTCAACTTTCCATACCCCGTTGTAGACGAAAAAGCACCGATTATTAAGTGATAATAAAAATAATCAGAAATTATATACGCGCTTTTCTAAAATAAACAACTTGAAATAAACCGCGATTAAAACCAACGCGTTCAAGCGATTCGAGTAACTGACGTCATCATCCCGTACCATATTATAACCGCGGTACATAATACGGAAATTTTGGTTATTCGCTTGGATTTGATTTATGAGTTTCACCCCCCTGGTCACAGCTTCCCCCGGCAAGTAGAGAACATCCAGAACCGTCGTTGACAGAGCAGCTTCAGCGCCATCTAACATTTCGCCAACATAACACCTAAAGGAAACTACGCTCTACATACAATAACTATTTGGCTCATTTCCTCCATCATTTTCACCATATAGGGCATTCTTGCTATTAATTGCTTGCATTTATCACAAATCAACAAAAGAACCCTCTTCTGTAATGGCATACATCGCACTTCTGAAGATGTTAAATTGACACAATCCTTATGAACGCTCCCAAAACTTGAATCACATTTATAGTAACCATTGTCTCCATGAAATTCTGTTTTACAGTTGATGCATACCTCTGCTTCAGGTTCATTGCCCTCCATCCTTGTTTATAATTAAGGATTCTGTTTTGGGATGGTTATTATGATTGTGAAGCTGTTTTCTTTTTAACATTGTAGGATTATTAAATCAAAGTGTGAAAATTTGATGCAAACAGATATTTGTGAGATATGATCCTGGACAACTAGACTATAAAACCAGCTAGTTATTCTGATGGTTATTTTTGTAACTGGCACTTTTTGTAAGCAAACTTTTTGTTGCTGTGAACACTTTTTGTAAGAGAAATGTATCCTACTTACTGCAATTAACCACAAATGAAAATATGTGCACAACCAATATTTCACTGCCAACATGCTTCTCACAGCACTATTGTGATTTCTTTCAAAAATCATATTTTTTACTGAAGTAATAACGTAGATTTTCGACAAAAGTGGGAGAGCACTTTTACACACGTCTATCGTTCGTGAAGCTCATATAAAAATAGGTTTTGACTCACCAGGAAGGGGATAGGGTTACTAACACACAGATATTGATTAGTATTTTTACCACGCCAAAACGTTCCTCCCATTAATACTATGAAAGGTTTCTTTTTTTCAACTTTCCATACCCCGTTGTAGACGAAAAAGCACCGATTATTAAGTGATAATAAAAATAATCAGAAATTATATAGGCGCTTTTCTAAAATAAACAACTTGAAACAAACCGCAATTAAAACCAACGCGTTCAAGCGATTCGAGTAACTGACGTCATCATCCCGTACCATATTATAACCGCGGTACATAATAAGGAAATTTTGGTTATTCGCTTGGATTTGATTTATGAGTTTCACCCCCTGGTCACAGCTTCCCCCGGCAAGTAAAGAACATCCAGAACCGTCGTTGACAGAGCAGCTTCAGCGCCATCTAACATTTCGCCAACATAACACCTAAAGGAAACTACGCTCTACATACAATAACTATTTGGCTCATACAGTACAAACTACTCTAAAAAAACCTAAAATTGAAAAAATCGATTGAAAAACGCGGTTTTTCCGATTTTTGTCAATTTTCCGGATAAGAAATCATTATTTTAACAACGGAACTGAAAATAATGTAAAGCGCGCATATACACTGAGAAACCAAATTTGTCTGACAGCTAAGTTCAATGGGTACGAGAGAGAAGTGTATATAGACACATATGTTAGAAACAGATAGAAGCTGATTGGATAGCGAAGCCGCATTGCCAATATGTTACACCAGTTTTCTTGAATTAAGATGTATGTTGAACATACGCGTTAGTTTAGTTTATTCACTACGCCACATAATGGTTTTGTTGTTTTTTCGATTTTTTGGTTACGTAATGAGAATTTCACAAATCGGTGCTTTCTTGCGTAGTTCTTTAGGTCCACCAACAAAATCATGAATTTTTACCCAGGAAATCGCCAAAATCAGAAAAACCGCTTTTTCACATCTTTTGTTCAATTTGTAGCATATCATAAATTGGATTACTCAAAAATTCAACGTACAAATATATTTTTGGCCACGCTTTTTTTATAATTTTTTTAACGCTTTTGTTCAGGAAAAGAATAGATTGCTAACCTAATAACGAATTGCATACAGGTAAAACCAAATTGTCTGACGGCGCGAGTTCAATATGTACGAGAGTGAAGCGCGAGAAGTGTGTATCGACACATGTTAGAAAGAGATAGAAGCCAGCTGAAGAGCGAAACTCATACCATATTGCCTAGCAACGGTAATGCAAGAAGGTCGTGCAATCTGCCGCGTTGCCGATATGTTAGACCAGAAAATGTTCGAACAGGCTACTACAATAGGTTTGGTAAACGTGAAAGCCAAGGAGGTCTGTTCGTAGATTTAATTTAATATTTTGTTTTCACTTTGATTAGAATTATTTATTTTAGAATTATCTTTGATTTCCACCGATGGTAATAAAATCAACACATCCCGATTTAATGTTACACTTTGCGACACTGCAATGTTGCAGAATTTGTGGCGATCCTGCCCTTTCATTTCGGAGGACCGATCCGGAATCGATCCATAGAGATTCGACACAATTCAAAATGTGTACGCTCAAAATAAGACCATTAATTAGGTGTAGAGAATAAATTAACGCATATTTTCAACATGCATCTTAATTCACGGAACTGATGTAACACATTGGCGACGCGCCAGATTGCTGCATCAGCGTTGCTAGGCAACGAGGTGGTGAGCGTCGCTATCCAGCCGGCTTCTACCTACTTCTAACGTGCCGACAGACAAATTTGGTTTTTCAGTGTGAGTGTGCTTGTTATCTTGGAAGATAGCTCTTTCTAGAAAACTAGCGAGCACTTAGGATATACCAATATGTCATAAATGGAGATTCCTACTCCTTTTGGACTATACTCATATCAGCAACAACAAAATACATTATGAAAGCATTGTTTGCTTCAAATGAACGTGCAGCTGAAATGTCTCATTATTTGATGGAATTAACAAAAAAACATCTATTGAGCAGCCTCATATCACAAGTGTAAGAGATGATATCAAGAGATGATAATAGAAATATAACGATAAGCGTAAAACAACAATTCCACCTTACAAGCGTTCGAAGTACTACCCTGTACCTTTTCACTTTTATTATGAGAGTAGTACATACACAACTTAATGTCAGGATAATTTTAAAGCCACTTACTTGGTGACGTTAACGACAGGGGAGTTGTTCTTCCTTGGCGAGAGATACGGTCGCTAGAACTGGGTGTCGGGGTCAAGCCTATTTTTAAGAAAAACCTTTTGAGTACCTTCCATATTCTACCGACTCATGACATGCACAACTCTACTGTCTATTCATTATGTCTGTTAATTAGCTGTCTCAATACTGATCACAAAACAATATAATAATGGCCATGATATTTCTCAATTATATTATTACAAATTACAATACATTGCATGGGGGAACGGTAGCATCCTACCCCATGGAAGTCACGCCTGTTATGGAAATATAATACCTCGCACGGGGAAACGGTAGCTTCCTACCGCATTGAAGTCACGCCCGTGACCATGATCAGGGGAACGGTAGCTTCCTACCGCATGGAAGTCACGCCTGATATGGAAATATAATACCTTGCACGGGGAACGGTAGCTTCCTACCGCATGGAAGTCACGCCCGCGTCCATACTCGGGGGAACGGTAGCTTCCTACCGTATTGAAGTCACTCCCGATATGGATACCTTTATAACCGGTGCTTAAACACATATGCCAAGTACTTGATTGTTACGAAAAGCAGCTCAGAAACCAGGATATCACGTTGCCGTGTCAATACCCAAAAGCTCCAACCTTACCTCTGATTGAGAGATAACCGAGCAGCGGACAACTTTAAGTAACAATCCCTATACACATCTTGCCATGAGATACTTTCAGACTCCTGCGATTGACTCGAGAAGAACCTAGGCGGTCACACAGACCCAGGATACACGCCGGCCAATGGCCGTTGTGTCAATACCCAATACGCTCCGACATTTCCTCTGACAGAAGAAACCGAGCAGTAATTCCCCCGATGGCAACCCGGCTCTGTAGGTCTCATAACAGCCTCCAGGATATGGAGGCGTCACACCTCTGTAGATGTTCGACGCTAAGTTACCTTTAACTTTATCTTAACTGTTGATAAACATATCTCATCTGACTAGCTTTGACTTATTACAATTATTATCATGATTATAAGGGTACCATGGTTAGAAAATACACATGACATGCAGTACAGCAAAACAATAACAGATACTCGGTGAAAACCCTCAACCATTTGATTGATCGAACCTTGACCTGAACTTGATATGGACCACTATTCACAAAATCACCAACAAAAGACACTTCCACCTTTCAACTGTTAGAACAATATTAGAATGAACTAAGAGGGCCTGTGCCTCAGCGTGCCTTTGGTTTCACGAATACGCAGGGTCATAAGTGGTTGTTGAAATGTGTATGCCAGCAGTGCCTTTCTTAGCATCTCATTTCTGCTGATAGAAAACCTAAATCATAAACAAACCATTAATTATCTTAGTAACATCAGAATATGAACAGGAGCAAAATATATTGACTTTGTATTTGTGGTGATCCCAGTAGGCCACAGAGAGTTTAACCCAAGGGCGGATTTACGATTTCGTCTAATGGGGCGCAAATTCCTCTGTAATTGGCTATGCCAGTTACATCATTCTTTTTGTGAATAGGGACGATAACTGTTTTTTCTTTTTTAGTCTTGATGGAACACGCCATCAGTAAAGAGCTATTAATGAGATAACAAATTGGTTTGGCTAATAGATCTGCTACTTTTGCTAGCAGCGAGCAGGGTACTTGTCATCGCCACTGGATGATTTTTTTGAAATCTCACTGATAATGTTTATGGTTTCGCTGTGACTCATGGATAAAGAAAAAATGAAAAAGGATTTTTAGCGATATGACTGGTACTAGTATCAATATTGAGATTTTGCGTTAAGGATTGCACAGATTCCAAGAAATAATTATTAAAGGAGTCCGCTAACTCTTTGCCAACGAGCTGTGATCCATCATCTCTAAGAAAATTAACGTTTGGACTCTTAATCCTAGAGCCACTGTGTAGTTTTATTAAATTCCATGCAGTCTAGGCATGTTTAAGGAATTTGGATTTTTTCAGCATGGTATTTGCTTTTAGCTTCCTGAATTTTACGTCTGTGTATAAATTTCAGAGTTTGTATCGTTCGTGTAAGTCTGCACTCCCTGTATATTTATAAGCAGCATGGATATATCGCAGAAGTATACCCTCCTCGATAATTTATCATTCACCCAAGGTTTTCTTATGGGCTTATTAACTTAATTTGAAGCTAGTTAACGGAAATGCCTTATCATTATACCTATGAAAATATCATGGAATAAAGAAAATTTAATATCACAACATGCCAGGTTCTCCAAGCAACCCAGTCCTGATATGAAAGCAACAGCCTAAAATAGTACAGATTATTTTCGTCATCAAAACACTTTTTGATATACAGGGTGACTTCGAAGTTGAGTCATTTATTTTAACAGTGAGTAGATCTGATCAAAAGAAATGTTTTTTCCTTTACCATTTTCCTGGTAAAATTAAAGTAACAAGTTATAGCCCTTTGGAAGTTTGAGTACCGCCCTGCTTCAATAACAATATTATGTGGTCGTGTTTGGCGACAATGGATATAATCCGCCGTATCGGTTCATCGCATCGGAAACAAAAAAGCGAAAGAATTTGGAACGATGTTTTACAGGTATCTCATTCATTTGTATACAGTTAGTGTCAGTGAACAGTGATATGTGTTGCGTGGCTCAAACGAAACAAAAAATGGCACATGTTTATGCGGATCGGTTTCCCAATCGAGTGCAACCAACCCCTCGTGCCTTTGTTAATGTAGTACAACGGGCTTGTGAATCAGGTGACTTAAGACCTCACAGGGTACCTCACGATCAAATACAGGTCCGCACTGAAATACTTGTCGGGAGGATACTTTATAAACAAGGTAAAAAATTTTTTTTATTTTTTTTTTATTTTTACACACATATTTTGTTTATCTTCCTTCTACAATCATTATCTGAAAATTAATGACTCAACTTCAAAGTCACCCTGTATAATTGCTGTATGAGCACATGCTGGACTCATCATAAATTAGCTCAGCTATTTGTAAAAAATGATCGGATACGTCACATGGTACAATTTCAGCCTTCAAACGCAGCGAGTCAACATTACAAAAAATATTATCTATTGTAGTACCCGAATTATTTTGGACTCGGGTGTGATTAAAAAATAGAGGATCAAAACCATAACACTTGAATATATTTTTACATGCAACAGCATTTTTATCATTAATGCCTACGTCGAAATTGATGTTACAATCTCCACATATAAATACTGCGCTGTTACCCAAAACACTTATGAAGCTA